GGAAGGAAGGAAGGAAGGAAGGAAGGAAGGAAGGAAGGAAGGAAGGAAGAAGGAGGAAGGGAGGGAGGGAAGGAAGCAAGGAAGGAAGAGGGAGGGAGGGAAGGAAGGAAGGGAGGGAGGGAGGGAAAGGAGAAGGAGGGAGAGAAAGGCAAGGGAGAGAGAGAAAGGCGTAACTATGTGTGTTGTAGGTTTGGGTATGTATGAGTGCACCAGGTCATGTGTGTATGATTTGTATGTGCATGCATGCTTGTTTATTTTGCATGAAAGTGTGCATGTGTGTGCCTGGTGCGTCCCTTGTGAGTATGCCTTGTGTGTACATTGTGTGTGTATTTCTACATAGTGTGTGTGTGTGTGTATAGTGTGCACATTGCAGCTGTCTGTACATTTTACACTTTTGTACACCATGTATACAAATGTATATAATATGGGAACATTGTGTGTGCTCTATATTTGTGTTCACACCGATGTGTTTGTCTGTCTGTGCTTGTGTGAGCATGAACGTGAATGGTATACATAGGACACACTGAATTCCATTCACTGTGTGTGTGCACTGTTTAAATATCCGTGTACATTTTTTTTTTTTTGAGACGGAGTTTCGCTCTTGCTACCCAGGCTGGAGTGCAATGGCGCGATCTCGGCTCACCGCAACCTCCGCCTCCCAGGTTCAGGCAATTCTCCTGCCTCAGCCTCCTGAGTTGCTGGGATTACAGGCACGCGCCACCATGCCCATCTGATTTTTTTTTGTATTTTTAGTAGAGGCGGGGTTTCACCATGTTGACCAGGATGGTCTCGATCTCTTGACCTCGTGATCCACCCGCCTCGGCCTCCCAAAGTGCTGGGATTACAGGCTTGCGCCACCGCGCCCAGCCAATCCGTGTACATTTTGTGTACCATGGCTGTGTGGTGGTTTTTACCTGTGCATGGGTGGTCACGGGGTGTGATCACAGGGGCACACATGTGTGAGCGTGTGTATGAATTCAGGTCCTGGCTGTTGGTTTGACAGTGTGGAGATGTCAGTGAAGCTCCTAGCTCCAGTCTTGGGGCCCCAGCTGTTTCACAGTTTATAGCTGGTAGTAGAAATTCAAATCAGCCCATGCTGCCTGCGGAGTTCAGTTCCCAGCCAAATTAAAAGTAAATTTGGTTACAACCTACCTACTTTATACCCTGCAAATGTTAGTGTCTGTGTTTTCCAATCAACTAATATTTTATCTCCCGCCAAGAAGCTTCTAAAGAGAGGATCAAAGACAATAAGATGAAAGGTAGTCTGCTGCCAGGGAGGAAAAAGAGGAGGCAGGGATGCAGAGGAAGGGTGCCCAGCTTTGCTGTCCCAAAGGATCTTTTCATGCAAGGTCAGGACAAAGGAGGGCATTTCAACCACCACCGTGGAGGCCTGGGGAATGCTCCAGAAGAAAGCAGTAGGGCCTTGAGTTAGCTCAGGGAAGAACTTCCTTATCATTGAATTTGTTCAGCTCAAGTCAAGAGACAATTATTGGCAGCATGTATTGAATGTGCTTTCACACTAAGCACAGATAGAGTACATATTCTCGGCAATCTCAGTGTCACTTGGCCCGTGGGGCCCCAGGGCAGACAGCCACAGAGTCAGGGGGTAGGCCCATACCTCAAGAGCACTAGGAAGGACCATCACTGAGACAAGGACTGCCTGCATAAGGGCAGCAAAGTTGGCCACCCTCCCTGGTGCCAAGAGCTGGAGGAGTCCCAGAAATTGCCAGCAGGGCATCAGAAAGCTTGTGCAAGCCAAAAGACAAGAGGCAGGAGAGGAAAAAGCAAGAAAAATAAGGCATCCTGAAGATAAACGATGGCCTATTCTTGCCAAGTCCACAGTCAGGACTCCTTCCAGGCAAGTGGCTGCTAGAGAGAGTTAACCTCCTTTCATTCAGCGTCCCTTAATGAGGCCCTGTGCTGGGCCCAAGGGCAGCGATGAGCCAGACACTGTCCTGACCTTGAAGAGCTCACAGGAGCCAGACATGGAGCAGGTCACAGCACAGCAGATGAAACCCTGGACATTGTGGGAACACGGGCACTGGGAAAAGGGCTTGGTGGCCTCCTCAGGGAGGCAGCGTCTAGGCTCCAGGTGAGCATGGCAAGTAACCATTCCAGGCTGCAAGTTAGGCAGGTGGTTTAAACTCATTGTGCCTCAGTTTCTTCATCTGTAAGATGAGACTAATAAGAGAAGCCACTTCGTAGGTTGTTAGGAAGAATAGATGAATCTCTTTAGAAAAAGTGCTTAGAATACAGTGTCTGGCATGAAGTATGCATTAGCTGCGGGTTACCTGGTATCATCCCCATCAATATCGTCATCATCCCTAGGATATCATGAACTGGGAAATGTGTGAGCCAGCATACATACAGTTCAGAGCTGCTTCAGCCCGCCAGGCCAGGGCAGAAGAAGACAAGCAGTGAGGCCAGAGAGCCAGGCCAGGGCGAGCTCCTGAAGCTGCCTGAGGTTCAGGATCAGAGTTTGGACTTGTGAGAGCAATGGGAAAGTTTTAAGCAGGGAAGGGATATGGTCTGATGATTACATTACAGGAATCCCTGAGTCCTTTGTTGAGATAATGAAGTTACCTCCCGATAGAATCATCTCTGACTCCCACTGGCTTTCTCATTCGGCCCAAACCATTGACATCCTTTATACATCCTCAATTACCACTGCCACTGCCACTACTATTTCTGAATTATTACTGCTTAGAAGTAGCTGAAGTCACCTGCAGTAACACCATCATTAGTGGTAGTAGTAGTAATTGTTGTTCTAATTTTTGTTTTGGATGAGGTTTGTAGCCCATCCTAGAAGGCTTTTGACTCCATGTTAAGAACCTGGACTTCATTTTCCAGGTCTGAGGTTATAAATTGGCAGCCTGAAGGCCTAATTTACTCTGCAAATGTGTTTCATTTGCCCAAAAAAGTGCCTTTAAAAAAAATAAGCTTCCATTTAAAATAAGAATATTTACCTAAAAATCTGCATTTCTGCATTCACTTGAAAAATTAGACGATCACCACGCAAATATTCTGAAGGCAAAGCAGCTCCTTCTGTTTTAACTGAGCCTTCGGTTAATATTGTGTTAGTGCTTGGCTGATGCACACACATATGGTCCTGAAGCTCTGTGACAGGGAGGCTCCTGCCTTGGCTGATACAGAGGAAACATGGGGAAGTGACTTTCTGCCTAGGATGTCACCTGGGGAAGGGGAAGGGTCCTGAGTCATCCTCACTCCCTCCAGAGGACTCCTTTCTGCTCACCCTGTTCAGTACCATTGATTATGGACCGCCTCCATGGCCCCCTCCCCGCCCCCCAGCACCCAGGCAGGAAGCTGGACAAACGCATGGGGGTGAGGGAGACGCAGACCTTCGGGAGGGATGGTGACCTGAGTGCAAGGAAAAACAGGTGTCACAAGATCAAATCTCTCTCACTCAGTTTTACTCTCTTTCTCCTCTCCCCTGACTCGTTCCTTCTCCTCCCCCCAAGATCCCGAAGCCGGCCCCGAAAGTCTCACCGTCACCGCCATCACCGCTGCCCATCGCGGTCCCAGAGCTCGGAGTCACGCCCCTCAAGCTGTGAGAACAGGTAACCGCTGGCCCCAGGATCGTCTTCCCTCAGCCACAGCCGCAGCCAGGCTAAGACCCTGTTAGCATTACATTCGCCTCCACTCCTCCAGCACAGGACTTCCTCACGCTCAGCAGCTGGCACCACTTCCCTTTAGAGAAAGAGCTGGAGAGGCTGGGTGTGGTGGCTCATGCTTGTAATCTCAGTGCTTTGGGAGGCCAAGGTGGGCAAATCATGAGGTCAGGAGTTCAAGACTATCCTGGCCAACATGGTGAAACACGGTCTCTACAAAAAATATGCAAAATTAGCTGGGCATAGTGGCAGGAGCCTGTAATCCCGGCTACTCTGGAGGCTGAGGCAGCAGAATCGCTTGAATCCGGGAGACAGAGGTTGCTGTGAGCCAAGATTGTGCCATTGCACTCCAGCCTAGGCGACAGAGTGAGACTCTGTCTCAAAAAAAAAGGAGGGGGAGCTGGAGACAAAAGGTCTTACTGTCATCACTTATAGGAATGAAACCCAATACTAGCTTTTTTTTTTTTTTTTGAGGTGGATTCTCACTCTGTAACACAGTCTGGAGTGCAATGGCATGATCTCGGCTCACTGCAACCTCCACCTCCCAGGTTCAAGCAATTCTCCTACCTCAGTCTCCCAAGTAGCTGGGACTACAGGTGTCCACCACCACACATGGCTAATTTTTGTATTTTTAGTAGAGACAGGGTTTCACCATGTTGGCCAGGCTGGTCTCAAACTCCTGACCTCAAGTGATCCACCTGCCTCGACCTCCCAAAGTGCTGGGATTACAGGCGTGAGACACCCCGCCCAGCCCTGGCTGCTCTTTGTACATCTACTTGCAGGATCCTCTCTACAACCCTAGGAAATGGACATTATTGTTATTCCCATTTTAAAGATGAGAAAACTGAGGCATGGAGGGGTTAAGGAACTTGCTAGTCTCTTAGCAACTAAGTGACAGAGTTAGGATTGAAACCAGGGAGCATGGCTCTAGACTTCTCACTCTCACTAAGGGACCACTCTATGCACAGAGAAGCTAAACAAACTATGAAAAACCAAACAACGCAAAGCAGCAAGTTCATTCTAATGCCTTTTCAAGGCAGTCTTCTGCTAACCTGGACTCTCTCTATGCTAATACATTGGTTGTCCCAACCTGAGAAGGGAGAGAGGGGCTATCTTGTTGATGAGAAGAAGGTGGGGAAGGAAAAGAGCAAGAGTAAGAACTGAGGCTTTGTTGGTTTTTCTTTCTCAAACGCATCTCACACTTGACTCTCTGTTCACATCACCAGGGGAGATTTTAAAATTTCATTGTCCTGGCCCCACTTTACCCAAATAAAGCAGAATGTCTAAGGAAAAAGGGAGGAGGAGAATGTAGAAGGGGGAGAAGGAGGAAGAGGAGGCAGGAGAGAAATATTTACCCAGATCCTGCTCTGTGTCAGACACTGTGCAAAGATTTTCAAGGCATTTTCTCTCTTATCGTTCTGATAACACCATGTGCGATGCTGGCGCTTCTCTACTTTGGCCATCCTTTTCAGTCACTTGGGAAGTTTTAAAAGATGCCAGTGCCAGGATCCCACCCTCTAAATGTCCTGACTTACTTCAGACGAGATGAGGCCAGAACAGTGAGATTTTTGCATCTCCCCAGTTGATGTGTGGGAAGCATTTGAGAAAGAGGTCCCTGGTACCTACTATCATGATTAGGCCTTGGTGTTTCTGCCGAACATTGGCAGTGTCCGGGAATACCACCGTTCAACAAGGCCACTCCGCAACCCTCACTGCTCAAGACAAAACTAAGCCCCCTCTGTCATCGAGTCTGAGCCCAGATGAGGCTCTGTGCAAAACACAGAAGTGACCAAGCCTCTCTCTAGCCTGCCGAATATGAGTCACTGCTGCTTCCTTGGCAGCCATGGGCCTTAGTCTTTTCCTCCCTTTTTCTGGATAAGATTGATGAAGACATCCAATCTGAGTTACCCCCACTTTCTGGCAGCATCTAATTCAAAACAAAGCTTCAGATCTGTAAATGCTCCCCAAACCACCTGCCACCAGCCCAAAGCCTATAATAGGTTCTTTCTAACACTGTCTTACAGAAATGCATGAAACTTACCTAAGGTATCAAGTAGCAACAACTATGCTTGTTCATCCCCAGGGGGACTCCTGGTGGCCTTTTTCTGGAGGATGTTGGCCAACTGAGCTAAACCATATCCCTGATCTGTTACAGCAGAGACAACTGCCTTTTGGTGGGCAAAAGGATCTAAGCGAGGTCACATAGATAGGAAGTGTCCGGCAGAGCTGGAATAGGCAGCCGGGTTGGGGTGACTCAGCCTGAGCACTTTACCTACACCACAGGCTGAATTATCTCTCAGCAGCTAAGCCCTATTGGCCTGGGCCAGAGAATCATACAATGCTCTAGCAACTTACCTGCTAGATAAATGATTAACATCACAAACACTACCCCAGGCCTCCTCTGCTGTCCCGTCTCCTCCTGATGATGTAGGCCTATGAGCTCCCAGTGTCTACTGAGCTGAGGAGCTCCCTAGCAGAAATGAAAGCAAACTGAGACCTGGTACACAGGTTACCTATTCAGTAGAAACATGATTTTCAAGCCACAGAGCAGACAGGGGAACTCCAAGGCATGAACCAGAGGCACCAGTTCCTAGGCGGGGCAAAAGACTGCCGTGGCTGTTGCTCTGTCACTTCCAGGTTGTTTGACCTCAGACAGATTCCTAACCATCTCTGAGCTTTGGCTCCCTCATCTGTAAAATGGGAAAGTAATACCTGCCCTGTCTATGTCTTCGAGTTGTAGGGAGGACTGTGAAAGTGCTTCAAGAGAGGTTTATACACGCCATGCAAATCCACAATGCGTGATTTCTATTATTCCTGTGGCTCAGAGAACTAATGAGATGTGCAGAGTCCAAACATGCCCTTCCTAAGAAGTAAGACATGCCTTTGGTTTTCACTGTAGACCAAGCAGCCAGATCTAGACATCACAAACTTGCAGAAGGCATCTTTGTCATTTTTGTCAGCCATTTTTTTTTCACTGAAGTTTTGGGTGACAGTCAACAGGATGTCTTTATTTCACAGATGGTGAAGTCACATACACAAAGACACACAGCTATACACAGTTACATTTATAGACAAACACATGGAAACACAGATGGACACACCCAGACGTACACATAGTCACCTGACAGACAATCATAGAGGCACACAAGTGACATTAAACTGAATAACTGAATCAGGATGGGGACCTTTTCTGTTTTTAAAGCTGCATCCTCAGACCCCAAAACAGTGCCAGGCACGTGAAGTAGTATTTGTCAAACGAAAAAGTGAGAGAATGAATAAATAAAGGAATCAACAGATGAATGGATAGGTGGGTTAATGGATGAATAGATTGTTGGTTAGCTAGATGAATGGATGAATGGTTAGTGGTTAGATGGATAGATGGTTAGTTGGATGGATAAATGGATGGATATACAGATGGATGGATGGTTGTTTAATTGGATGGTTGGGTGAATGGATGAATATATGAATAGTTAGTTGGTTGGGTGGATGGATGGACAGATGGATGGTTTATTGGACTGATGGATAGACGAATGAATGGATGAATGGGCAGATGGTTAGATGGATGGAAAGATGAATGGATGGATGGATGGGTGGATGGTTAGTTGGATGGATAGATGGTTTCTTAGACAAATGAAAGGATGGATGGATGGATAGATGGATGGATGGATATGTGGTTGTTTAGACTGATGGATGTTGGAGAGATAGTTGGTTAGATGGATGAATAGACGGTTGCTTAGGCAAATGGCTAAATGGTTGGTTGGATGGATGGATGGATGGATGGTTAAATAGATGAATGAAAGAAAGAATGAATAATGGACAGATGGATGGATGGATATACATACAGTCCAGCTCTCATACACACACAGACATACTCAGGAACAAAATCACATATGAACATACAAACACCCCAAACACACTTTATCATCCTCAGATCCTGTTGGTACTACATCCATCTCCCTGCCATGCTCCCCTTCAAAAGACCCTCAGGTCTCTCTCCCCAACCCCTAGGCACCGCGGCCGGTCCCCTGAGGAAGGGCAGAAGTCCCGCCGAAGGCACTCCCGGCGCTGCTCCAAGACCCTCTGCAAGGACAGCCCTGAAGCCCGGTCCAGTCGCCCGCCCAGCCAACCCCTCCAGATGCTTGGCTACCTGTCAGCCAGGGGTGTAGTAAGTATTCTTCACAGCCTCCTCTGCCAGCCTTGGCCACGACACTTGGGGGAGGTGGAGGCACAAGTTCAGGGCAGTGTATGATACACTTTAATTCAATTTCTGACAAAATATCCCACTGGCTCCAGACCTCATTATTGATGAAACAAATGGTCATTCACCAGGCTCTGGCAACACTTGGCTTGGGGATTTGGGGGCAGGGGGAAAAAAACTAAATACCCAGGCTTTTTATCAGGGAAATGTTGACAAATAAATACTTGTCTCCAGAGTAATATCTGTAGGAAGACATGTTTAAGACACCACAGGAGGGTTTTTTGTTTTGTTTTTCTGTTTGTTTGTTTTTTGGAGAGGAAGGAAAAGAAGGGCTCTTTGACGTAACAGAGACACTCCAGCTTTTACATGAAGTCTGCATCTTTTATGCCAGCTGGCTGGAAGCATTGGTTGGCAGCTGGGATTTCATTTCACCTATAAACATGACCTTGAATATATATGAGAATGTTCTTCTAAGGAGGTCATAGCTCTTAACCCGCATTCTCTTGTGTAGCTACCCAAGGTCTTGAGAGTTGAGGGTGCAGCTGTCTCACTAGTCCCTTCTACAGATGGGACAGAAGAATCAAGGCTCAGAGAGGTTAAGGGCTGGAGTAAAGCCCCAAAGCAAGGCAAGAGTTAATCCAATTTAGCAACCCGGCATTGAATAGAATTAAGCCGTGCTGCCTCAAGCAACAAGGACAAGCTGGAATTTGACTTCAAATAGTTTGACACCATGAGCAAGAGACTTAGAAATGGATCTGAATTCAGTCCTAGCTTGGCCACTTCCTAGTTGTGTGACTTTGGGCAAATTACTTAATCTCCATTTTCTCATTAGTAAACTGGCATACTACTTCCGTGGGGGATTGTTGGGAATATCCAATAACATAAAGTATGTGAAGGCCTTTTGTAGATTCCAAAGAGACAGACAGACAAACAGGAAGAGAGTCAACACTGATAGAGTCAACAATTTCAGCAGACAGCTGTTAAAGGGACTGTCTTCTCTAGCTACATGGGAACTTGAAAATTGCAGGTAGATGCTCCCTAAGGAAGGATGAGGTGGAAGCAAGGAAAAGCCCAGGGTGCTTGTGGGGATGTCAAGAAAGGGAAAGCGATGACAACATTTGGGCCTGGCTAATGCAATAATTATCTGCAGTGCATTCCAGGAAACTTCTTTACCAGTCAAGGCACCCAGCATCTCCAAGGTATAATTTTACCCAAATCCTCTGCCTACCTGAAACCATCTGCAACTGTCCCCAGACTCCTTCTTGGTAGAGACGCCTGTGGTTACTGAGTGCTTGCAGTTGGCAAATGCCCACCTGCATACCCTCTCTCACAAATACCCTAAGAAGGGTCTTCCCAGCATGACAAGTCCAGAGGCCTGGATTTGAGTTTTGTTTTGGCTGGACTGATCAGTTTACCCCTCTTAACCTCAGCTTTCTCACCTGAGAAATGGGCAAGATTATTCCACTTGTCTCCCTGGGGGATTGTGGCAAAGGTAAAGATAAATCTGAAATGTGAGCATTAAGAGGTAGAGGAATGTTTTTAAGTTAGTAAAGGATGCCTAATCTTCCTGGTCATGGTATTTGTGGTGGTCCAGCTGGAGGTCCCAATTGACCCTAGCTAAAAGGTGCCGTTGGAAGCAGCTGGCTTATACTTTCCTACATGTCTGGGATGGCTTTCCAACAAGGCAGGTCTGTCAAGATGTTACAGAAAGCTGGGCCTGTCCTCCCACACAAGCTGGGGAGGTTACCAGATTGGCTATTGGTAGTTTGATTTCCTGAAACGCAGGGGTTCTTGATGGCTTTGAGACACAATACCTCACTGTTCTTCATGAGCCTGGCCCTACCAGAAGAGCTAAAAGCCAGTGTTCACCTGTACCTATTAGAGAGGCTTTAAGAGCTCAGATGGCCTAATGCTCTGATTGTTAAGAAAGGGAACTGATATTCACAGAAGAGAATTGATTTACATGGGCTGTGGCAAGGCAGAGTTGTTTAAAAACATGAGATTATGAATTTGTGGTGACATCATATCTCTGAGGTAGGGGTAATTACTTAAACCTTTCCAAGCTGTAGTTTCCTTATCTGCAAAAAATAATAATAATAAAGATGATAACAGTCTCTTCTTCAAAAGGCAGCTATTGAGCCCAGTACTTGACACAGGTGAAAAACTTGACAAATGTGATGACAACATTCCAGATCCTGGCTCTGAACTTACCAGCTGTGGCTCCTTGAGCAAGTTACACAAATTCTCTGTGTCTCAGTTTCCTCAAAAACTGCAAAACAAGGATAGCAAGAAGACCTACCTCTTTAGATCGTTATGAGAATTCAATGCCATAATGTAAGTAAAAGTTTTAGAGTACAACAGGCAAGAAGTAAATGCTGCGTAATGCTTACTGCTAGTGATAGTAACAGCAGTAGAAGTCATAGTGGAAATAGCAGTGGTGATTGATAGCAGTGGTGATGGTAGCAGCCACAATAGCGGTAGCAGTGGTACTAGCAGTGGTATTAGTAGTAGTAATAGTAGTATAGTTCTGGGCACAGGCTGAGCTGGAACTAAAACCAGGGCCCCTGCTTCCCAGAGCAATTTCTTTCCATCCTAAATGGTAGCTTCAGCCCAAATGGCTGCCCTGCCCCATTCAAGGTTGCCTGGCTCTTGGTAGAATCACGTGGCCCCAGATTGGTTCTTTGAGTGTTCCTTATGCCTGGCCCTTTCTCATCTTCTCTATTACAAAAGCAGAGATGAAAGAAGTTTCCAGATTGGATCAAAAGTTTCCCAAGGGTTCTGGCCGCAAGCTTTTCTCTCTGTTAAAGCTAACAGCAGAGTCATTTTTGTTGAATCACGAGCCAATCATTTATTTAAGTCTACAAACACCTATGGAGCATCTACATAGGATCAGGTTCTGACTTATCTCGGGATCCAATTACCAAGAAAGAAATAGCCTGTACCTTGTAATGAGGGGAGACAGACAAGGTAAAAACAGGTAAAGACAGTGCCTAACAATTGGTGCTGAGATGCCTAGGTGGGGCACAAGGTTAGCAGACAGGGGAGGGGACGGGGGTTAGGGTTAGGGTTAGGCAGAGAAGGTGACAAATACCTGAAAAGCTAAGGGTGAGCAAATGAAGTGGGGGAAAGTAAAGATTGGAGTCAGGGGCTGAGATAAAATTCCAGGGCAAGATATGGGCTCTGTAGGTAAAGAGGAGCCTGAGCATAGAGGATCTCCTATGCCATATTTGATTACAGGTATTTCATATGCACAACTCTTTTAAAAAATCAAGGACCGGCCGGGCGCGGTGGCTCAAGCCTGTAATCCCAGCATTTTGGGAGGCCGAGGCGGGTGGATCACGAGGTCAAGAGATCGAGACCATCCTGGCCAACATGGTGAAACCCCGTCTCTACTAAAAATACAAAAAATTAGCTGGGCATGGTGGTGTGTGCCTGTAATCCCGGCTACTCAGGAGGCTGAGGCAGGAGAATTGCCTGAACCCAGGAGGCGGAGGTTGTGGTGAGCCGAGATCGTGCCATTGCACTCCAGCCTGGGTAACAAGAGCGAAACTCTGTCTCAAAAAAATAAATAAATAAATAAAAAATAAAGGACAGTTGCATAGTATCGATGGACTTATTTGCATATATGAATATGCAAATTTTGGGGGTTGGCTCCTAACGTGATCTTAACTGGTGAGCTAAAGGTAACCTGAGGCTCTCTTGCTTGGTCAGAGCCGAATCCAAAGAGAGGATCCCAAGATAGAGACCCTTCACAGCCTCACACATAGTCCTTACCTTCACTCCATCTTCTCTGTTCAAGGCACTGGGGAAGCAGACAGATTGTTAAAAAACAGCCTTCCTGAACTCCAGGATCTCACAGCTTAGTAGTAAGAAGAATGATGCAATACAGTGTGATTGGTTTGTAATTAGGGCTGAGACTGAGTCAAGAGCACCAGTACCTTCTCCAGTTGTTAAAATATTCAAATACTTTCATGCCAGTTGGTAAATAGGCCCTGTCATTGCCTCACTCCACCCCAGTCAACCTAGCCATCCCTTCTCTCCCTTGTCACCTTCTGGATCTTCTCAAAATCCTGAAACTGAAAAGTGATACTTACTTCCCTTCAGTGTCAAAGCCAGTTTCCTTTGTGGTGGGGCAGTACTCACAACCAACTAGTTGTTGAATATTGTGAATGTCACCCCTGGCAGTGATGGGAGCAACTGCAATGTGTCATGGAAGCACAGAGTAAGGGCTGGACAATGTTGTCTTGATGTCTGAGAAGCCTTTAACAATAAAGGATCATTTGAGCTGGGCTTTGAAGGATGCGTACGAGCTCATTGGGTTGCAATGATTGATGGACAGAAAGAGGGGAAAACACCGCGATGTGTCAGGCACTGTCACATACTTTCCATAATTTTTGCCTCATTTGATACCTAAAACAGTTATTTGAAGTAGGTGCTATCATTATCACCATTCTGAAGATGGAAAAACAGGCCCCGTGAGGTGTTGGTACCTAGGAATGTAACCAAAGTGGGAGAAAGAAGAGCTGTTATGAGTTGTGGTTCGTGCCTTGAAAGCTTACCCTGATAGCTGGCGTGAGAGGTAAACTGGATGATGAGGAGGGTGGATTTGATGATGGAGAGGCTCATGGCTCCAAGGGTTAGCCAAGCATTTTCTCTGTGGTATGGGGCTCTCTATCAAGTCTACCATAACCAGAGAGGAAATCTAGAAGGGGGCTGATCAAGACTGGAGCCATGCCAAGGACAATGGCAGGCTTCTTTTTTCCTCCTCTTGCTTCCAGCCTGGGCCAATAGTTGCTAACCCCTGTCAACAAAACCAGTACAGACGTTGAAACCAAAAACAATAAAAGCAGAACTCGTAATCCATAAAAGAAGGCCTCATGAAATTTGTAAACTGGAAGAGGCAATGTGATTAAGACATGGGCTTTTGGAGTAGATCTGGGCATCCTAGAGTTCTTGATCTCTCCCTG